AAAGTGATTCTTTAACCTCAAGGAGAGGCACAGGATGGACATATTGAACATCCAAGGAAGTCACCAAATATGGTCACTTGCCCTATAAAAGGTTAACCACTACATTAACCTCAAACAGCAAAATCCATTCAAACATTCTATGAACACTTTAAAGTCTTATGACCAAGTAAAATCTATTAGTATAACTTTGTTTTATTACCTGCTTTGCTTGAGTTTGCAATATTATACTGTAAAAAACAAGTAGAATTCTGCAGCTACCTTACCAGCTGTAGTCATGTCTGCAGCAAAGATACGACTCAGAAAATGAGAGAGGAGCTGAGAAGGAGGAGAGCTGCTGGACTGTAGATGGAGAAGGAGAAGCGGATACTGCTGCTGGATGAGGAGTTCGGCAAACATCCAGATGGGCTGAGACTTTGAGAGTTTATGATTATAGCTGGACACTGGATATTACTGATGACTGTAGAAAAAAATAACAAAGAAAGAACAAGAAAGGATGAGAAATGGAAAAAGAAAGAAAGAGAGGCAGAAAAGTTTGTTTTTTTCTCGTCAGCTCTCGGTGCTGTTAATGCAGGCTTTGTTTGAATGATGATGAAGATGAGAAGTTCCATTTCAACACTATACATTACATGCAAACCAGGCACATAGTAACGCCTACAGCTTTAGCCCTTGTTATGTGTGACTTACCACGTTTGGTGGAGAACAACGTGGAGGCTTCTGGGAAATTAATGGAGGACGAAGATCTGTGCAACATCATTTTGGATAACACTGAAGTTAAAGCCACAGCTCTTCTCTCATCATTTTCCTGAATTCCTCTCATCACATCTCACGTTTTCATCCCTCCCAGCAGAGATACCAGCAGAGGAGTTGAGGCAACAGGTATTTAACACAATAAGATGCCCTTGCTTTGGAGCTGTCATTTTATTGTAATGTCAGTTAACCCTCATGCGCCCATGAGGACACTGTTGCCCTTTTCAGTTTTGATCTTTAGATGCATTTGGTGTCAAATTTGGTAAAGGTGTGTACAACAGTGCAATATATTTATTCTACTGTTTGGCTATGATCATGCTCATTTCTAACTGTAGATACTTCCTACTGGCTCCTTTTGTATTTATATATTCTTATTTGTCTTTTTCTACTTGTATTTTGCACCACTGGAGTTGTCTTTTCATTTCATTGTACTTTGTGTATGATGATAATAAAAGCATTCTCTTCTGTTCTACAATGGGTGCAGACAGAGTTGCATTTATCAATAATGCACTTCGAGCAACTCAGATAAAAGAGAAGTCAGATCTTAGAAGATATGCCCACCGTGGACTTTATATCTTCAGTCTTTGTAACAAATATTGACATGATGTTGGCATAATACGTATCAGAAAGTTTTACCTGACTGAACTTGATGAAGAAGTTCATTTATGAAACATGATGTCATCCAAAACAGCAGGGTCAACTCTGTTTCTTTTCTTAGCTGAGGGGGATTCTGACAAGTCACACCTTTAGAAACAGGATCCTTTGTGAATTTGGCCCCTGGCTGCTGTCTGGGTACCTGGCTGAATGAAGAAACTGTGATCGTGGGGGTCAGTAGGGACCAAACAACAAATCTTTGCCCTGCGACCCCCTGAAGGCATTAATCCGGCCATGAATATTTACACATCCTTGTGAAATGTTAAATAAAAACTTAGTTTTGA